CAAGGTCGAAAATACTTTCTTTTCACACAGCGAATTAAACACCCTAACCTTCAGTAGAAATAATATCAAGTCTCAGATCGATTTTATCATCTCGAACATCCATAGCTGGTTTATCGATGTAAAAGTAATGCCAAATATAAATATTTCTGATCATAAATTAATCAGAGCCAGTATTACTGTGAAAAATGTATGGGGAAACTCTCGGCGTCCTTCTCTTCAACCCCAGCCGAGATACCTGTCCTGGAAGAGAAATGCAACACACCTGCAACGCCCTGCAGTCAAACTACAGCTCGATCTATTCTTAAATGATAGGGAGGCAACTTTCTTATCCTCGTCGGAGTCTCAATCTGTCGAAGAATGTTGGGCGTCTTTCAAAAACAACTTGTTTGATGCCTACAATCATCTCCCTAACATCAACATTTCTCCACCAAGACAGGAATGGCTATCCGATGACACCATTCGCATGATAGCTCAACTCAAGTTACGAGGTGAGCGTGATGGTCACTTATGGAACTCAATTCATAGACTCCTAAGGAGAGATAGAAGGATCTATATTGCTAAAAAGGCTTTTGAGATAGACAGGGATATGAGGGAAAATAGAACTTTCGACGCCTACAAGAAACTAAACTATTTTTGTAAAGCCAAAGTGTTCAAGACACTTCCAACTATAAGACTGGATAATAATAGGTTAATTACTGACCCCGACGAACAGATAGCGTTATGGCTTGACCACTATATGGGAGTCTTTGATTCTAGGAGGCCTACCTTAATCCCATCCACTAGTCAAAATGTTGGACAATTGGACGCAAACTTTTCATTGGCTGAAATTGTGGCCGCTATTAAGAAGCTTAGGAATAATAAATCTCCGGGTACAGATAACATTACAGGAGAACATCTGAAAGCAGCTCCCTTAACGATCTCTCGGTTCTTACTTCCTTTGTTTAACAAGATATGGTTGACTGGGATGATGCCAGCGGATTGGAATAAGACTATCTTTTGCAACTTCCCGAAAATTCCAAATCCATCTAAATTCAAGGATTATAGAGCCATCGCTCTCACGTCTATTGCATCAAAAGTTTTTATGGTTCTTTTAAAAAATCGCATTCTTTCCTCTACACCAAACCTTTTGTCTAAATACATTCGTGCTTACCGTCCAGGTAGAAATATAAACGAACCAATATTAGCTTTAAAGATTATAATGCAGAAATGTCAGAAGTATAAATTACCTTTTTACTTTATTTTTATCGACTTCAAACGTGCTTTTGATAATGTTAACCATGATGCGCTTTGGAAGATTTTAACCGAATGTGGCATTGACTCTAATATTATAAGGATCCTTAAAACACATTATAGTAGTCTTTTTGCCTCCTTAAAAATCAATAATAAGGTTTCTCCATCTTTTAGGACAAAAAAAGGGGTAAAACAAGGATGTGTTCTTTCCCCGCTTTTGTTTAATATACTTATGAATAAAATCATAGTAGATACGCTGGCTACTGCGAATCTCTTAGAATTAAGTTCCAGTCAGTCTTTTTTCTTGGAAAATAGGGTGATATCTTATGCTGACGACATAGTTTTGATAACAAAAAGTTTGGAAGAAACCCAAAATTTGATCGCTATATTAAACTCCTTTAGTCTTAAGGTTGGCTTGGATATTAACTTTGATAAAACAGTGATAATGCCCTCGTCCCAGGCGCCTCTTTTGAATAATTTGGTGGTGGGGGGAAAGTTGGTTAAGGTGGTAGAATCTTTTAAATATCTAGGTGTAACCATTGACAATAAAGGTAGTTGTAAAGAAGAACTAAAAATTCGTTTACAAAATGCTAGGGCGGCTTTTTATAAATTTTTTAAACTGTGGAAAGCTAGAGAGATATCCGTTTTCACAAGACTCTGTATTTTCAACTCAACCATCATCCCGATTCTCTTTTATGGCGGTGATACATGGGAGATTACCAAGACCGAAACTAGGAAATTACAAACGTTTGTAAATAAATGACTTAGAATAATAAATGTAATCTTCTACCCTAATATTATCTCAAATGAAAATCTTTGGAAGAAGTCTAACCATACCCAGGTTCACGTGTCTTTAAAAAAGAAACGTCTTACTTTCTTTGCCCATATTTTAAGAAATCATAGCAACAATAGCCTTGTTATTGATGCCATTAATTGGTTATACTCCTTTAATGGGAAAACATATTGCAAATATAAGACATTATGGTTCTACAGAGCCTTGAAGGACATAATGGATCTTAACTTAAATTTGAAGCAATTCCTAAGGCTAAATAAAAACAAAAAATCTATAAAAAAACTACTAAAAATTAAATCGAACTACCTAAACCTCTCATAATTTTTTCAGGTTATTTAATTTCTTCATCTCTCAATTTTACCTCTTGATTTTGTCTTTCACCTTTTCTGTGAATTACTTACTTCACTGACTTCAGCTTTTATTTATCTTATTTTCTGAAAAAACTGCATGGTTAACATTATAAATAGCTCTGTTATAATTCACAAATGTAAAGCAGAAGGGGGTTTTGTACTTAGTTTTTCTGCATGATTATTTTTCTAAATTAATTTTTGGATCCAGTATTTTCTTTTCTTGGCCTGTATATACTTATGTATTTTGGTGTGGGTGATATGCTTTTTTTCCATGCTATAGGATGTGATGGCTATAGCTCAATAAGCCTTAAATTTCTGTGGTCTTAGTTTTTTGGGTAGTTACTTAGGTAGGATTTTTGATCCATCCCACTGCAGTTAGTTTCCGCTCTCCCATATTTCTATTAAATGAGGGCAAATAGGTAGCGATATTGTTATAGATGCTATTTATTTTTTTTTTGGTTTTTCTGCTGTGATATTATCTGGCCCTGGAGCTTTGCTTTTTCTTAGTGTTTTTTTTCTTAGCCTTTTGTTATTTCATTTATGGAGAAACCAGTCGACCGGGGGGTGGCGAGGTTTGTATATATGTTTTGTTGGTAGAGTCTTTCCGTGAGTGATAGACTATCATATAACAATCAAGCCAAAATGCCTTTTGTTAATCCTGGCCAACAATTACTTTTCCATTTCCTAAAACTTACGGAGCTGGTTCCTATTTCTGCGTCATAGTTTCCTTTCTCTCATATCTTTATCATTATCAAAGACCTTTTTCGCTATATAATCTATCTATCACTCCATAGAGTATTTTGTTTCTCTGGAAAAAGGAAAAAATAACCGTTTGTTGTGTGGTGTTCGTTTGCTGGATAGTCATAAACCGATTACTGACTAGTTTTTGCCTATTCACTGGAATTTTCACCTATTTTAAACAATTTGTGGTAAACCCATTTTAGCTTTTCCTTATTTTCATGAATAAAATCTCAATTGATATGAACACATTCTCAATTATTTGTTAGTAACTATCAAGGCTTACATTAGATGTTAAACTTAAAATTAGCCACCACCCACCCTTAAAGTAATTAAATTATTTTGGCAGTTCATGGGTATAGGCTTTTGTTTTGCCCATTTCTTTTGTTGATTAGCCTATAGACGTTTAAGCGACAGTTCTCGGACTGTTGCGCGTACAAGTACGTGCGGCTTGCCCACAAACGTGTGAAGGGCTCCTCATTTTTCTCCCCTAAATTAACTATCCAGTTTGATGGATTTTTGAGGAAAACCTAGCGTAGCTCTGTTGTATCCACAACCAGAGGGCGAAAACGCTTTTATCACGTATTATAGTTTTACTTTTCTTAGTTTGTAAAAATATTATATAAACCATAAAAAAGTAATAAAATCAACATTTTTAAACATTCTTTATTTTAGAATCAAGTGTTCCGGATTTCTTCTTCATTATAATTTTATTCAATCGATTTCTTTTCTTTATATGAATATTAGCCCAAACAAACCAATTACTAGGAATTGTTTAAATATTAGACACTTAATGTCCGGGCAAAGCCCTATTCAACAACTTGAGTCCAATATCTTATTGTTTTTTTATAAATTTAACTAATTTTGGATATTAAATATAATGCCACTTTTACTTCTCGAATTTATAAAAATATTTTGATTATCATTACCTTGTAAAATGCCTAATTCTTGCTTTATCAAACTCCCTACTAGTAAGATGCTCCCCTTATACTGGGGAGCCAATAAATAATCAGCATGAGCATATGTATCGTTTTTTCAAACATATTTTAATTTTTTTCTTCAAATGGACATATTATAAAATCATGACATTATTGAATTCTGTGTTTTCCAAATTAAGTATCACATATTTTACGAGGGTACATTTATTTTTTTTGCTCTTACAATAAGATAGCTATATGTCAAAGAATAGTTTAAAATTTTTCGTCCAAAATATTTATTCACTATTATATTATTGGAATTTCTTTCAAACAGAGCTTCCTTGCTTATTTGTATTTGCTCTGTACATTTGACGATGCCGATCTTGTTTGGATATTTGTACATATGTAATAGAAATTAACAATTTGAACGCTTTAGCAAAATTATTAATTTATATATTGAGATTCAATCAAATTAACAATAAAAATTTTTTTTTCTTTTTATATTTCAAAATGAAATTCTAATATATTTAATATAAATTATAATTAAATCGATGCCTTGATGATACAAATATATTTAAATAAATTGTGTACTTTTTATGTGTCGCTGTAACAATCTCCAAAACATTTGTCAGATTAATAAGCATATTAAATTAAATCAATATATTTATTCGCCTTTAACCAGGTCAAATACTCTTTCAGTCAATTGACCGACTTGCCAACCCGAATATAATGCAATTTTAAATGTAAACTTATCCCATAAAAATAAAATTTTCACATTGTTTATTCAAATCAAATAATTAATTAAATATAAACCAAATAAAATGACAAGATAATCTTATAATGAGTATTGATTTAATACAACATTAAAAACAAAATAAAACCTTTTTCAATATCCTGGTAAAAATAAATACTCAGAAGAGCCCTATACATAAGCATCTTGAAATGCTACTATGTTATATTGTCCTAATTTTGTATAATTTATTATTAATGATTGTATAATTTATAATTAGTACATTTATTGTTGATTGGTTAAAAAAGAATTATAAAAATAATGATTCGAATATAAAATTTTGTGATAATTATTATTTTTTATTGATTTATGACTTTACATTTTTTTAAAATAGTTTTAGTAAAGAACTGGAAATTATTTTTATTGAAATAAAGAATTTTGTTTGTATACAGAAATTATTTTTATTAGATTTAAGAAATTAGTACTAATAAGATTGAGAAGACGTTTTATTAATTATTTTTATTATGGTATTAGAAAAGTTTAAGAAATTAACTAGTAATAAAAGTGAGATTTTTTATTATTGTAGTTATACTTTTTTTTAGTTATCAAACAAAAATATCTTAAGGAGGGTTTGATAGCAGCAAATAAAATCAGTCCATGCTTTGGATCGGAATATTGGTGCAGCCCTACTTAAATTTAATTAATTATTTTTTTTTGTAAAATAAAAAAATTATTTAAAAAAATCTAAACAACAATAGATATTTCTAAAAAATTTTACAAAATGTAGAGGTAAATTTTTTTTACATATAATATAAAATGATTTACATAAAAAAAATGTTATTACTATTGAAAATATAAAAAAAACAATTCCTGAATCCTAAAATTCAAAAAAGGGTTCTAGAAAAATTTCCAGGATTCGGGTACTCTTTCCTGCTTAAAATATACCCGATAATTATGCCGATGGATTTATTATTTATACATGGGAATGTTTTTTAAAATATAAAAGAAATAACTAAATTTAACAGAGAAGTAATAATAAATATATATAGATTACAATTTAATTAAAAAATTGTAATAGAAGTAACAAGTTATTGATAAGAATAAAAAAAATTATAATTTTTCATAGAACTGAATCTGGGTGAAATTATTAACTAACTATTGATAATTAAAGTTATGCTAGGAATATTATTTATCACGTAAATGAGGAAAAGTAGGCATAAATTCCGGTTTACAAGGATAAGGTGTCTCATAAAAATAAGGATTGTTAAGAGCGTCTTTTGCAGTTATTCTAAAAATATTTAAATCAAATAATGTTATATAATCGTGATTTCATGTTTATTTTAAAAAATACAAATCTTATTTGGATATATTTTTTTCAAAAACGACTGAAGCGCGCCCCTTCTTTTAAAAATCAGGAGCGGTAATTAGCTCCTTTTAGGACTGGAGTGAAGGAGAGCCGCTTCACCGCTATTTTAAATTTAATGTATAAATTAAAATTTAATAATTTTATTTTATTTAAATTTATGCAACATTAAATGTTGAGTGTAAATAACTTTATTATAGATTTTCAAGTTTATAAAAATGAAAATATCATGCTGATATTATCCATCCTGCATTCAAATCAAAATATGGAACAAACAAATATTCCTGATGCAAAAATAGCTTAGTCCACGGGAACCATGTAATGATTTGGAAGATTTTTTTGAAATTATGATTTTAAAATTACTATTTTTGATAAATTTCCTGATTTAAATTTTTTTTATAAAAATACCCCGCTTTCCTCTAGTGCTCCTGTTTAGTATTGCAAACAGGTTTTAGATAAAAGCGTGAATTTAGAAATTTTATTACTTTTAAATGCTAATGAAATATTTGATATATTATTTAATATAAATAAAACTTTTTTGATAAAAAAATATGATTTTGTTTCATGTACTTTAAAAAAAAATGTAAATCAAAGAAGCGGCTATGGAGTGGCACTCCATTACTTGGAGCGAGAGCTAGCTACTTTTAAAAAGGAGCATTAACAACTCTGGTATTTAGAATATTAATCGTTTGGAAATAATGGTATGTTCAGCTAAAAATAGAGATGGTTTAAAATTTTTTAAAATACATAATGTTCAGAAATTCTTTTTATTTTTCCCTCATTTGGTGTACTAGATTTATACAATAATCCCAGTATGAGATAAATACCAGGTTTAATGAGGTAATTATTTTAATAATGATAGGAATTAGGGAAGCTTGTTTAATTTAATTTGAAGGTTGGAATATTGGGAACTAAAAAAAAGTATGAAATTCTTTCTTTGAGTAAAAATTACATTTTATTGGAATTAACAAACTATCATATATTAATAATTCTGTCACTCTTCTATTCACTAATATTATAACCCGTTTAAATAATGAAGAAATTAAATTTTACCTTCAGTGAAAATATTTATCAGCACTGTGGTGCTGCATCTACACCATTATCACAGATAGTGTTGTTAAACGGCTCGATTTGAGCCGATTTTTAAAAAGGAGTAACTCAATATTTTATTCAGAAAAATATTACGCAGGGTTGAAGATTTTGTTTATAGAAGGAACAAAGGTCTAGACATCAATTAGCGTCATCTCGAGGCTTAGGCAATATTTTCCTGGCTAAAATATTGAGTTAGCCGTTTTTTAACAAAACACTAATCACAGATAGTGGAAGTTATCGAAATGAACTATTTTTAAAAATAGTAATCGATTCTTTTCATCAAAATCTAACATTTGGGTTAGATGTGTCGATGCTATTTTCATAATTTGGTCTCATACCACGATGAACTTAATAAATTCTTAGAGTATAACAAATTTAGAATGGAAAAAGAACACACACCTTTTTAGAGATATATATAAAATATAAACGTAGACATACTATCTATAGAAGACCTAGTCATACCAATCTTTACCATAAGGCTAATTCAGATTATCAATCATCACCCTTGCCATATACGCTGTGGGTTTACATTTTATGTTTTCATCTTGATGACAAATTAAAAGTTATTAAAACCGTTTTTTCTTCGGATACAGTGTAAGTAAATTCAATTAGTGGTGGGCACGGGCCATGAAATTATGCGTGACACGATGGGCCATGGCGTGAACATAAATTTCCCTTAAATACCGAAAAATTCAAAATTGTATTTATGAATATAAATGCAATTTTATAATTATAAATATCTATATATATAATCACCGTAATCAAGAAATGAACGTTTTTGTATATCCTTAATGTTAATTTTTCTCATCAACTTTCCTATCTTCTTAATGTTAATTTTTCCTATCATCTTAATGTTAAATAAATCGATGTAGACTATATCTCTCTAATGTTAAATTTTAAGAAAATTTTTTGTATATAACGGGATTCTAACCCATGACTTAACGTTTTAAAGGCAAGCGTTCTTCCCGCTCAGCCACCTTCTATATTAAATTTTGTAATATAATCTTTCTTATATACGTTATTATTTTGCTATTATTATATATTTTTAATGGCTTATTAATCTTTATTTTTATTGGTTTATTAAGGTTTTATTTCATTGGTTTTAATTTATTTTCTTTCTATTTTATTGGTTTAAATTTATTTTCTTTGTTTTATCGATTTTTAAGAAGATCACAACCTTTTTTATATTTTTAAGAAGAAAGTCAAGTATAATTATTTTATTATTAAAATTTAATATTATATATATGAGATTATCATGGAAAATACAAATATTTATACAAACCAAAAATTTGTTCAAATTCTTTAGTACCAAGTGAAATCCAACTACCTTTTATATTAAAACGTCTTCAATTTTCTAAATCAGTGTCAACCCTTCGATCATGTAGGTTTATATTACCTGTTTTATACCATGGAAAACTTAATGTAGGGTTAAGCAAATGTACCTCTTAAAAAAACCTAAAGTTATGATTGCACCTATAAAATATGCTCAAATAATTAACATAAGTATTTATTAAAATATCTATTAACCATTTTTAAATCTTAAAAATGACAAATTAGTTTTAAAAAAAAGTTTAATATTTACCCTATTCATATAAAAATATGGACATGAGATATTGTGAGAACAACATAAATAAATATAAATTATGTTTTAAGTTAAAGAAATACCCCTTTTTAAATTTTTAAGAAGATAAAATTATTTCTTACCCTTTAAAAATGACAAATTAGTTTTTAAAAAAAGTTTAATATTTACCCTGTTCATATAAAAATATGGACATGAGATATTGAAATTATGTTTTAAGTTAAAGAAATAACCTTTTCTAAATTTTTAAGAAGATATGTTTTAAGTTAAAGAAATAACTTTTTTTTAAATTTTTAAGAAGATAAAATTGTTTCTTACCCTATCAAGTATAAATATTTTATTAATTAAATTTAACTTAAAAATATAGACATGAGATATTGTGAGATGAACATAAATAAATATAAATTATGTTTTAAGTTTAAGAAATACAAGATTTTTAAGATTTGTAAAAATAATTGACACTTTAAAGATTAAGAAAAAAAGTAAATAACTACAAGATTACAGACATATATAAATGAGGATAGACAGATGCCAAATTAGCCAAAAATATGAAATAATGAGGAGCTAGGAATGAATGAATCAGTTCAAATTTTTAAAAAAAGTTTAATATTTACCCTATTCATATAAAAATATAGACATGAGATATTGTGAGATGAACATAAATAAATATAAATTATGTTTCAAGACCTTTTTTAAATTTTTGAAGATAAAATTATTTCTTACCCTGTCAAGTATAATTATTTTATTAATAAAATTTAACTTTATTTAGCAATTATAATGAAAACTATGGAAAATCATTTTTAATTAAATTTTTAGGAAGATCACAACCTTTTTTAAATTTTTAAGAATAAAATAATCGTCAGGGGAAAAAAATAATAAATTATCAAATTTTTAAAAATGACAAATTAGTTTTTAAATTAAATTTAGCTAATTTAACATTAAAAGTCATGCTCAAAAAACTAACCCAGGTATTTATTAAAATATCAACTAAAAAAATCAAGATATATTTTATTTAACCAATCAAAAAATAAATATGGTGAATTCCATATCAAATCAACCAAGGTTTCAACCTGACCCCTTTCTATTTTTTTTAAATTTTGCATACTGGTAGTATATACTATAACTAAGAAAAAAATGAAATTTTACCTAACAAAAAGGCTTACCCGCTAAGATATGGGCGTTTAAAGCGCGGAAAAATGGTACATTTTTGACAAAAAGTGCTTCATTTATTTTCAAATATCTCGAGAAATAATTAAGTTAGAAAAATAATTTAAATTTTATTATGTAGCTTAATAATAGTTCTTTAATATGACATAAAAATAAATATGATATAAATATGATGAATGTCCAAAACCGGAAATGGCCATAGAAAAAAAAGGTATTTTTTTTTTCGAAATTTTTTTTCTGTAGATAGATATAACACTGCTTTATATTTGTGCCAAATCCTAGCCTGGGATGAAAAAGGGTCTAGGAGTTATGACTCTTTATATGGCTTAAATTGATCAAAAATATCTTCATTTAATGAATACTTATGAAATAATGTTTATTTAAAAATTATGTCTAAATTATATGTCCTTACTTTTATTTATTTATTAGCATAAAACAATCTATCATAATTAAAATTCAACAAATATCATCATATTTAAGATAAATTCACATACATATTGTAGTTTTCATAACCCCTAATGTGTAAGCTCTATAACTTTTACTTCATCTTAAAATCATAATCACAATTTTCATTTATATTAAAGAAAAAAGAATTCTCCGAATCGAAAATAGTATTCTTAAACGGAAAAAATAATAAAATTAATATATTATTGGGAAAAAGAAACTAAATTATTATAAACTAAAAAAATAATAAAATCATATTATATTATTGGGAAAAAGTGCAAGACCATGCACAGGGATTTCATTGGACAAATAATCAGTCCACTATTCACTCTTTTATCATTTATTATAGTCAGGACAACACTATAAAACATATAAGTTTAGTGGTGATATCAGATTGCTTAAAGCACAATGCCTGTGCCTTTTATTTATTTCAAACTAAAATGATCTTATTTTTAAAAGAAAGATTTGATACATTGACCAAAATTTATTATTTTTCTGATGGAGGGGCCGTAACCCAATATAAAAATAAATTTTTTTTTATAAATCTCTATAATCATGAATGTGATTTTGGTATGGCCGAGTGACATTTTTTTGCTACAGCTCATGGGAAAAGTCCGTGCGACAGTTTAGGAGGTATTACAAAACGGCTAGCAGCTCGAGCTAGTTTGCAACGGCCATATCAAAACCATATTTTGACACCAATGGATTTATTCGACTTTGCAACAAATAATATACATGGAGTAAATTACATTTTTGTAAGCAATAATGAATACAATAATATGGAAAATCATCTAGAAAGCAGATTTTTGAGAGCAAAAAGAATTACGGGAACACAAAAATACCATGCTTATATTCCCCTTGACGAAAATAAAATTAAAGTCAAAATTTATTCCAATTCTTTAGATAATTTAATATATGATATATTGTAAACATAATTATGAATTATTATATTATATGTAATAATGCAGTTCAGAAAAATAAAGTTATAAATTGGTTTAGAATTATTTTGTCAAGTAATTTTTAGTCACAATATGGTAACAATTAAAAGTTAGGGCCTATCATTTAGACATAATTTTTAAAAAAACATTATTTCATAAGTATTCATTAAATGGAAATATTTTTGATCAATTTAAGCCATATAAAGAGTCATAACTCCTAGACCCTTTTTCATCCCAGGCTAGGATTTGGCACAAATATAAAGCAGTGTTATATCTATCTACAGGAAAAAAATTAAAAAAAACCTTTTTTTTCTATGGCCATTTCGGTATAATACATCCGGTTTTGGACATTCATCAAATTTATATCATATTTATTTTTATGTCATATTAAAGAACTATTATTAAGCTACATAATAAAATTTAAATTATTTTTTTTAACTTAATTATTTCTCGAGATATTTGAAAATAAATGAGGCACATTTTGTCAAAAATGTACTATTTTTCCGAGCTTTAAACGCCCATATCTTAGCGAGTAAACCTTGTTGGGAGGTAAAATTTCATTTTTTTCTTAGTTATAGTATATACTACCATTATGCAAAATTTAAGAAAAATTGAAGAGGGTCGGGTTGAGAATCGACTTTTTTTGGTTGATTTGATATAGAATTCACCATATAAAACATATAATAGTGGAAAAATTATGATTCCCATCAATCTTACCCTCTCAGTTATAAGATTTATCTTTAGAAATTACTAAATTATATTAATTATAATATGTCACACATTATTATTTAAAGTCAAATGGACTCTATATACCTATTTATTTCATGGAATTAAAATACTCAAATACTTAAACTATGCCACAATATGCCAATCAAATTCATTACTCCTTAGTACATATTACATTTTAAATTATATTTAGCCAATTGAACATTAAGTCATAAAAAAACTTTTCTCTCACCATTAATATGTGATCTCTAAAATACCAATTTAGCACCAAGTAAACCCAACCTTTTAAATTAAAACGTCGTCAATTTCTTTTTCTCCCATCTTTTGTGATTACTATTAATAAAAGTCAGTGTCAAACCTTCGATCATGTAGACATCTCATTTATTTAAAAAAATAATTAATCAACCCTCAAATTTATTGAAATTAAAATGCTCAAAAAACTAACCCAAGTAATTATTAAAATATCAATTAAAAATATTTAAATATTAAAAAAAACCATATAATAGTGAAAACATTTATGATTCCCATCAATCTTACCCTCTCAGGGAAAAAATTAATTTTTACAAAAAGTCAAATGGACTCTCTATATACCTATTTATTTCATGGAATTAAAATACTCAAATACCTAAACTTTGTAACTATGCCACAATATGCCAATCAAAGTCACTACTCCTAAGTACAAATTACATTTTAAATTCAACAAATAAATTTAAATTATATTTAGCCAATTGAACATTAAAAGTCAATATAATACTTTTCTCTTACCATTAATATGTGACCTCAGGAAATGATATACAATACTTATTTATCCATATCTTCCTACATTTATGAATACAAATTCATATATTTTATGTTCATATATTTTACATTCATATATTTAACATTAGATTTAATAAAATCTATATATATTCAGAGAAGATTCTCCTTTATTTTTTTAAAAAAAAATTTCATATAATAGTTCAAGATTTTTTTATTCCTGTCATACTTGACGGGTTATCAACTAGTAATATATATTTTTTTTGGAAAAAGAATAATTTTTTAAAACAAAAAAACTTCGCATTTTATAAACAACTTTTTTTCTCGTCTTATATTTTATAACATAAAATAAATTTATAACCCCGAGGTGTGGTTTCATCCGGTGGAAAATTTGAAGTGATAGAACGGTAAATATTATTTTATTTTAATCATATTTATTTACAGATTCTATGAACATTATATCTCGATATTGATAGTAATTATAACTTACACTAAAAAAATTAATCTTAAAATCAGCCATCACCCACCTTTAAAGTAATTAAATTATACTGTAGTTCTCGGTATAGGCTTTTTCTTTGTCCCACTCCTTTTAAATTAAAGCCTAGAGGTTTAAGCAACTTTTTTTCGAAATGTTGTGCCTACAAGTACGTGCGGCTTGCCCACAAACGTGTGGAGGGCTCCTCATATTTTTACTTTTATACCCAAATTAAATTGTTCCAATTAGATGGAAATGAGGAAAACCTGGCGTAGCTCTGTTGAATCTTCAACGCTAGAGGGCGAAAGCGCTATATATCACGTATAATTTCAATTGAATGAAAAAAATCTCACAACACTCGTTGACCATTAATGTAAATATCTTTCACTTATATTTACTATATACTAATCATTTGCAGTCAAAATTTATCAATTATATTTAATATATAGATAACAATAATTTTTCTTTCACATTTAGATAAACATGTTTAAAAAAAATGTATATTAATTCTGAAAATATAATTTTTTATGCTTTTCCATTGCCTTTCAATTGTTTGAGTATATTAAAGGGTCTAACCTTAATACAAAACTTTTTAATGATTTACCATATAATGTACTAAATAAATAAACCTAGTACAATGATTGTAGAGGTCTATGCACATACTTAAATTTTCATGAATGCTTTATAATTGGAGGGCAGATTCTCGTCCACAATAAATGCAGTTTATATATGGAGACAAAAATTAGAAAAACTTTGTCAACCTTCTGAAAATGATGTAATAATAATCAAAACCTTAAAAATCAGGACAATATTTCTCAATAAAGGAAAAATTTATTATGTAGTCACTACATAGGTGGGCTTAATTATAGATCGGAATTTTGAAAGTCTTAAGTTTTAGACGAAGAAAAGATATATAAAAGAACCTTTGCTAAATGATATAAAATTAGATGATATGCATAAGTCATTGCCAACTATCATTTATAACTTTTCTAATTCATCCTATACACATAAAAAAGCGGATATTCGAAATAAATGATTTAGAAAAATTCTAGGTTATGCTGATGAAGCATCAACATCTAAAGATAATAAATAACAATATTTTGCAGTTTTGAAAGCAGGAAAATTCATTTCCTTTTTTGAAAAAATAAGCTAGTAAAATTTGTCAGCCCCGGCAAATTAGGCTTCTAATGAAAGGTTATTTTCCATAGCTAATCACTTATTAAAAGAATGGCGAACACTATTGGAAAAAAATGAACTTTCTTCCTTTACTAAAAAAAAATTTTGATTTATAAATTGTAATTATTTGGTGTTATTAATATGGAATTAGAGAAATAAATACTATGGTAGAATAAATTCAAAATGCGTAAAAATATAGGAGAAATTTAAAAACATCGTGAATTTTCGGGCGTGATCAAAATATTGTCGTTCGTGAGCGGATGGGTCAAATTTTTTTAGTAGTAAGGGTGAAACGGCCTGAATATCATTATTGCCACCGTAAGCAGGCGATGAATAAAAAATTATGCCCGCGCCCACCTCTACATTCATTCAATTGTGAATTGAAATAAAAATTTAAAATAAATAATTCTACAACCCAAGACAGTAGTAAATTCATTGCTACTAATTCTTTTCTATATATTAAAGTAACAATAGATAGCAATGGCAATAAATTGTTTAAGCATAATATTAGAACATATTTTCCAACCTACAAATAAAAAACACTTTTCTATCTCGACAAACCTGACATCTGTCTCATTCTGGCAATATAAAATCTACATTGGACAAAAAACCGTAAAAAAGAGAATTTCTTAATTTATGCCTTATAGAAATTTAAACCATGTCTATTTAGTAACTTTCATAATCAAAGGGTATAATAAGAAAACATCTACAAGAGACCTAATTTAATCATAACTGAGATGAAGGAAAATCTAATCCTCCTTCTTAGTATCTATTACTCATTAATTAATTAGTTTTTAGAATTCGTTTCCATTTTATCTTATTTTTCTTACTGTTGATGCTAGACAATTAAGTAAAATATGTGTCCAAAAAATTTGTATTTTAAATGTTATAAAATTTATAAACCTTCTACAAGGATCATACATAAAAAGACCATTAAGTAAACTTATTCCATTGTCTGATATCCAATCAAAAAGATATTTAATATTATTATAGTTCTGAGATTTTAATTTGAAATCTTTAACTAGAGGCAATTTGTTAAACCCAGTCCAGATTTTTTCATTGGGTGTACCCAATAAATCGATTATCATGTTTATTTGTTGAATTTCAGATTTTCCAGGCATCATAGGTTTATGTAATAACAACTCACCAAATATACATCCTGCAGCCCTAAAACAATGTTAACAAAGTTAAACATATAAATATACACATAAACTGCTCAACCCATAATTGTATAATGTTATAAAAACATGTATTATAATGCATTTTTCTTAATAAAAAATTCTTTTTGTTCAGCAAAAATAGAATTTATCTTTTCACAATCAATTAATAGTTAATGAAATATGTATAAGCATTTTTTTTTATTAATTTACATTTTGAAATTTCTTTACACTTTAACAAATCCTTACGTAATGAAAAATAAGTTAAATCTCAATGTTATAATATATTATATCATGATTAAAAATATAATTCTAAAATTAATTAATATTTATTACTATTTTATAATTTACAGACATAATGATATGAATATCTATGACTTCTTTTTTTCTATTATTTTTATGCCTGATCATATTATTATTATATAGAACAAGATGTGACTTTGAATCTGTTAATATATAATTTGCATATTTTTTACTTTGTAATTAATGACCTTTTAAATTATCCTAATTTTTGTAAATGTTAATAGTATTAAAATAAAGATTTTAAAATATATTTTTTTGGTTTCTCTTTACTTGTCTTCCTTGAAATTATCAGAATCAAAATTTTTTTAAAAAAATAATCAAGGTCTCTAATTAACAATAAAGCTCAGCTCCCCGCTAAGTCATTTCCAAATATTAATTAAATAATCTGTAGATATAAAAACATTTTACTTCATAATTTTGAGAGAGAAAAAAGCTTAAATTTAAGAATAAATAAGCAAAATATGATATTTTTAGGCCAATAATACTTGTTTTCCATTATATAAAACATTTCTTCCTGTTTTTAATAAACTTATCATGAATTAAATGGAGTTATTTTTAAATTTTCTTGCATTTTGTAATTTATCTTCAAAAAATCAACAAACTTTCATAATAAATTTAAATTTTATATTATAAAATAGATATTCATACTCGGTTGTAAATTTAACCATTATTTTTGATTTATAAAAATAATATAAAGTAAATTTAAAAAAAATTATCCATCTTGCTGGAATTATATAATTACTTTATTTTCTTATAAATTTTTTTTAGTATATCGTCACCTAAGTATTATACTATTCTGTCTCCATATTTCCCAACTTTAAAGGAGAGCGTTTTTAAAAAATAGTCCTCTTAGGGCTAGAAATTTAGTTTTTATTTATTAGAGATCATACTAAAAATAATATATGAACCAATTTACATATATAAAGCAAATATAGTTTTCGGGAAAATTGTAATATAATTTTTTAGATGTAGACATAGATCAAAATTTCTATATTTCATTTGCAAAAAATTCTTAAATGTTTTCTGTGTCCTGGAGATAGAATAAAAATCAAATTCATGTTTTATTATTCTATATCCATCTCTAAATATAAATATAACATAATATACAAAGAAATATAAAATTTTTTCAAAATAATTTATCCTATTAAAGATAAATTCCATCAAATTTTGGGAAAAATTTGAGAATTGACTTAAGTTCCTTGCTTATCAAGCATTTTTTACTAGTCACAATACTTGGAATTATGTCTGGATTTATCTGACTCATCATAATATTACCTGTTTTTGGTTTTAAGGATTTAAAGTGTCTTTATTATGATTAGTTTTATAAATTAGGGTCATAGAGTGCCCTTGACTATATAAAATTTGTTTAATAAATTCATATGAGATCTTTAGGTTAAATATATGGATCTTCTTTGATTCCATAGAATCTTCAGGATATTTCTTAAATGGATTGGATCTATTCAAAATTGATAAAATATGATAAGCTCAAGGGATTGTAAATCTCAGTTTTAGAAAGGATCTATATAATAAAATTTTATATGATACAATAAAAAAAATAAATTTTTTTGATCTGATTGTGCACGTTGATAATCTCTTGAATATTTGAATGGCCCATTTCTGAGTATTATGTGTTATACTTTTAATTGAAGGATGCTTAATAAAATTGATCAAATTACGATTTTGTGAAATACATGAATCTAGGGATCCAAACCGAACCTGAACGGTTAAAAATCTGTATTTTTTATCGAACCTAAATCTCGAAAAAAATCCTAGCCGAACCTGAACCAAACCCTAAAATGCCTCTGAACCGGTTCGAGTCTCATAATTTTATGCTTATAAAATAATGTGTAAGTTATTACTAGTAGTATATTGCAAAAATTTTAATTATATTCAAATTGTTTTAAAAATTATTAACAATCATATATGATAAACGTCAGTCATAATTTTTATAAACTTTAGTATATTGCCATTTTGCAATATTTTAAAATTATAAATTATAATGCCTAGAAAAAAATTTAATCTAATATATAAATTATTTACATATAGTATTATAAATGACACATCAAATCTGATATCATACTGGCAATGCCAGCTACTCAAGTTAGTGTGGAAGGATGTTTTTCAACAATTAAATTTATATTATCTTCATATAGATGTAATTTGAGTGAGATGAATTTTGAAAATATATTAATTGTGCAGCTTAGTAAAAAAAATTTAAGTAATTGTTCATATTTAAATTAATCATTGATATATTTATTTGTTATATTTGTGCAATTAATAAAGGTTTTTATTTTAATTATGAAATAAAAAATTTTTTTTCCTGATACATAATCCTAATGTAGGCTCGAATACAAATGTGTTCAAACCGGTTTTTAGAGGTTCGAACCGAACCGTTATTTTTATCCGAACCTGAACCGATATTCGTTTCGGTTAGGATCCCTGCATGAATCCGATCATAAAATAATTACATATAGGTGAGGTAAACCTTTTAAAATTATATTTAAAATTTTTACTAAAGCTGATGTAATAACATTTGCACTCCTCCCAGAGATCCCCTCTGATCATAGCTAATATGCCCTTTTATTAATATTATAATGGGCTGTAAGAATGTAAGTGTTTAATTTACACTTGTAAAAAAATAAGGATGTTTAAGTTTGGAAGCCAGAATCTTTTTTAGGTTTAAATAAACAGCAGCTATTGCTTTGTTGGTATTTTTATTATTTACACGTAACACATTATAATCCTCAAAAAGAATAAAAATTACCAGAAAAAACATATTTTTAAATGATATGTGCATAATATAATACTTAAAAAAATTAAACATTAGAGATATAATAATTTGACAATTTTTGGATATAGAATAATATAAACATTGATAAAATGATCATATGGTTATTTTTATCTTTCAATCCGATTAGTTGGATAGATATAGAATAATAGATTCCTTTTAAAACACTAAAAAATGCACATAGTACAGTTTAATCCTAGGGATGCCTAATTTTTAGTATTTTTAGTGTTGGGATAGTTCTAACCTTAAAACATATATGATGTGAATATTTTTTTTTTAAAAAAAGGAATATAGAATAGTATACTACTCAGGCCATGATATAGTTAATTTTCTACATTTAATATAATTAATCATTTTTATTACTATTTATATTTATGTACGATTCAAATAAATTTCATAAATTTATGAAATATTAAACGTTAAAATCATTAAAAACATACTAAATAAAATAATGGTTGCAATGTTCAAAATATGGATCATTTTAATATTTTTTTTATCGCTGAGCATGTTAATATAAGTCTATAATTTACATTACCAAATATCAATAGCAGTTGCTTGAACTTCTGCACCAAATAATAATTCAGGAGCTCTATACCAAAGAGTGACAACATTTGGAGTCAATGGTTTTAAACATGGAAGTCCAAATTTACGAGCTAAGCCAAAATCAGCTAAAAATAATGATGAATAAATTGAGATTTTAATAAGAAAACCTATCTTGACACATCCAAAATCGTTAATCAATAAATTTGATACTTTAATATCCCGATGCAAGATAAATTTTGAATGCAAAAATTGTAATCCACTAAAAACTTGGAGAATTATACATTTAACCTAGAGATTAATAATAGAAATTACTAAATATTTATTAGTGTTATTATAATGGTAACTAGTTACATTTATAATTTTTATATAATCTCCCTTACTGCACTAATGTGACTAAAATAAAGCAACCCTTTAAAACGTTTTTTAATATAGGGAAACCTAATTTTGAACAAAAACGAGTCCTTTTAGACACCAATTTTGAAAACAGTTTATTGCTAAGGCTGTGTCCTAAATAAAAAACTTATCAAAAGTTCTATATATTGCATAACTTCTAAAGTTTTGAAAGATATAATACATGTTATGCTATTAATTCAAAAGTATTGTTGAATTCTCCATTCGAATTATTCAAAATGGTTGATGTGAACGATTTATTAATTCTATATTTTTCTAGCAAAAATTACAAAAAAAATTTCACACTTTATGAAGACAAGAGCATCAAGTTTATGTGGTAATAAATTTTTCACATGAGAAATATCTATATAAACGGCTCAATTTGAGCTGATTTTTAAAAGCATAGTAAAATGTTATGCAAGCCTGAAGATTTTTTTCATGTATGACACAAAGGTTTGGACACTATTAGCAAAATCTCGAGGTTTAGGAAATGTTTTTTTGGTTAAAAAATTGAGTTAGCCACTTTTAAAATAATATCAAAATTTAACAAATATCTATATCAACCGCTGTGTTGAATACTGATTCTGATGGATTACTTGTTGCAGGAGATGTCGAATATAAACATACAAGGTTTGCCAAAGTTGAAAACCTTTGAGCATTAAATCTTTAATAATCAAGAGGATTAATCAGAGATAAAATATTGATTCATTGTTAATTAATCAAATTAAAAGTTGCATGATTTTTATTTATTATAAGTTCATTTTTAATAAAAACAATGGAATAAATAGACAAAAAATACAAATTTTTTAATTAATTTCTTTATATTAGTTTATTATAGTGTTGTAAACGAACGCGTTCAATTTTACGTTCGTTCAATTTTACGTTCGTTCAATTTTAAAAACACTTTTTATTTTTATTTATTTGGAAAATTAATATTAATCCGCATTTTTTAACAAAAAAGTCTTATATTTTTATTTATTTGAAAAATTAATATTTAATCCAATTTTTTAACAAAAAAGTCTTATATTTTTTAATCAGCTGTTTTTATTTTTTCATATTTCAATTAACGTACCATAGTGCTACTGCTAGAGAAGATAAGATTAAAGTTTATTAATTTGAATATTTTATATTTTAATTTAATAGATTAGCATTTGCATGGATATAAATATTTCATCATCAGATTCTTATAATCAAAATTCAATATTAGATGAATTAGAATTACCATGGCCCAAATATCAAAAATATTTCACTGTTTTATAATCAATTCCGAGATATCCTTTTTTTTTGACGAGGAAGAAGAGGGCAAATTGGAGGATGATAACATAGCTCAATTTTTTGAAACAATGGATAAAACATTAAATGTTTTTAATAAATTCCCCCTTTTAAAAGAATTGTTTATCAAGTATAACACCGCAATCCCTTCATCTGCCCTTGTTGAGCGAGTTTTTAGTATAGCTAACGCTGTATTAACTGACAAGCGTTAATGCCTATCAGATGAAAATTTTGAAAAGCAATTATTATTAAAAATTAATAAGAAATTTTTTTATAAATTTATTTTTTTATCGCTCTATTATATTGTATTTATAATTATATTATCAAAATAAAACTATTATTTTTTATCATGGCTAAAATATTGTGTTGAAAAATATAAGGCATTTATTTATATTAAATTAAATTTTTAAAAAAATTTATCATAAAATTTTGAACGTATGAACGCGTTAATGAACTTGAACGCGTTCCTTTTTTTGAATTTGAACGTGAAGGCGTTCGATTTTTGTCAATGAACGTTGAACGCGTTCGATTTTTTTAAAAATGTTTACAGCACTAGTTTATTAATATAATTTACTTATATATATTGTTAAAAATATTAAGGCCGTGACCTAGGTCAACTTTGTTTGGATACTTAATTGATTTTTAGTAGTGCTGTAAATGTACGTTACTTAAAAAAATTAATACGTTACTGATGTCTGAAAAAAGGAACACACATTACTGACTAAAAAGTAACCAGTTAATCATCACTTAAATAACTAAATTATATACAAAAATCCCTCCCCCCAAATACATTACATGATATTTTTGTAATAATTTTTTATTTATTTTTAACAATTGATTTTAAATGTTTTGATCAGAAAACAAGAGTGCTAGTGTTCAACACACGTTCAAAAAGCAAAGAAGATGGAAGGGTTGTATTGTGGATAAATAAAAATTTTAATTGGGGATTTATTAAAAATTAAAGAATAATCTCTACTTTGAAAAAAATTTAGTTCATCATCAAAAGAATCGCTAGAACTTCATCCAATTTTTTAATATTTAGTTTAAAAAAATCTGTACATGTGCTGTTTTTTAAAGGACTCAAGTCTGCTTTTCTAAGTCAAGAATTTTTCTCAAATAGGAAATAAGTTCAAGTTTCCTTCCTTTGATGATATCTAGTTTTAAGAGGGCCAATCTGACTTAAATAGCAGATGAATTATTGTTGATAATAAAAATATTATCAAAATATAAATTGTGAACAATACTTGTATAACTTTTATTTAAGTACACAAAATGAAATTGTTTAAAGCCATATTTTTAATATTAAAATAGTTATCGTGGGAGTGACAAATTATTTTTTCTTTTCTCTCTAAAAAGAGCCATAGGAACAGGTTCCATAACCTAATCATATATATAGCCAATCCGTAATTTGGAGTTATTACAAGATAGGTCTACATAATCTATAATTTAATGTTTATATGTTATTATCAAAATTATAATATATCTTTATCAAAATAAATGGATACAAATTTAATGCAGATTAAAATGTTAATTTTAAAATCAAATATAATCATAGAGCATTCTCAAATTATTTATTTTGGAGCATTTTAAACTTAGTAATGGGAAAAATATTCAATTTATAACATATTTTTTTTGTAAAATTTGAACAATGGTCTTAGGGTCATTCCATATCAAATCGATCACTTTACAACGCGACCATCTCAGATTTTGTTAAAATTTGGTATTTAAGTTAATAAAGTATTGTAAGTGACGAATCCAAAATATTAGAGTCTTAACTCTATTAGAATTGGAGATATAGGGCTTCAAAGTGGGCCAACTTGGTCATTTTTCGAAAAAAATGATTTTTTAAAATTGAGATAACTTTTATATTAGATGCACTATGTATATTTATTATGGCTCATTTTATAGCGATAAGTAAACTCTTGAACGTATGATAAATAAATTTAATTTTTAGTTTAAATATTTTTTTTAAATTGCGGTTAAAAATTTGTAATTAATTTTTTAAAATGTTAGACTAAATTTTTTTTTCCAAATTTCAGATATTTTGTAAAGAGTACCAAGAACTGTTCATATATAAAATTTCAGAGTGGGGCCAAAAAAATAATTAGATAAAATCGCATTTTAAAAAAATCCGCTAGATGCGCAAGAAATTTAAAATATCAATTTTAACATAAAAAGTCATTCTAATAAATTTTTTTTATTCCATAATATAATATTTGTCGAATAATTAATAATAAGAGTATAATATAAATATTTAAAATAATTTTAATTTCTTTGAAATTAATTGAATTATCGATTTTTCGAAATATTTTTCCCAATAATTATATCTGTTACTTTTTTCCTAAAATTTATAATTTTTAAAATTAATTAATTTATTAATATTTTATTAAATATGTTTTGTACAAATCCATTGAATCTTCCAAATCACTATTCCGTGAAAGGTTTGCGTAAGGTGCCCCTATGGATGACAATGTATCATAAAATTAAGAAAGGAGAATATATTTGTCCTAAGTGTCGCAAATTATTTTATAAAAAGAAGAATAGTATTCCAATTTTAGAGGATAGCAATATCCCTTCAACTTCAAATAATTTCTTAAACTCCACCAATATAGAAAATGATTATCCGACGACAATGCGCAACTCCCTACACTTTTTTTAGAATCCTTAAATTCTACTTTAAATCAAATGGGGCATTCTCCAGTAAAAAAAAGAGATTAAGAGAAAATGGATATCCCAAGAAAAAGCTCAGCAGAATTTCAAAAGCTATTGGGAAAATTCTACAACCAAAGATTAATAAAAATGATAGTGACGATTGGATAATTCATATGAAAACAATTATCCATTATTGTCTAAAACCCCAAAATATCAATTATTAACAACATTACCTAAATTGGAGCATTCATAAAATTAAAAAACAATTTAATGCTTCGTTTTATATGATCCGTAATTCAAAATACATTCATAGTCAAAAGGGGATTCTTTCAACTCCTAATCCCAAGGCAGGTAAAACTATAGATCAAAACACAGTTGACATAGTTAAAAGTTTCTATTTAAATTACGAATATTGTAGATTATTGCCCGGAAAAAAAGATTGCGTTTCTATAGTGCTGTAAACATTTTTAAAAAAATCGAACGCGTTCGCGTTCAACGTTCATTGACAAAAATCGAACGCGTTCACGTTCAAATTCAAAAAAAGGAACGCGTTCATACGTTCAAAATTTTATGATAAATTTTTTTAAAAATTTAATTTAATATAAATAAATGCCTTATATTTTTCAACACAATATTTTAGCCATGATAAAAAATAATAGTTTTATTTTGATAATATAATTATAAATACAATATAATAGAGCGATAAAAAAATAAATTTATAAAAAAAATTTCTTATTAATTTTTAATAATAATTGCTTTTCAAAATTTTCATCTGATAGGCATTAACGCTTGTCAGTTAATACAGCGTTAGCTATACTAAAAACTCGCTCAACAAGGGCAGATGAAGGGATTGCGGTGTTATACTTGATAAACAATTCTTTTAAAAGGGGGAATTTATTAAAAACATTTAATGTTTTATCCATTGTTTCAAAAAATTGAGCTATGTTATCATCCTCCAATCTGCCCTCTTCTTCCTCGTCAAAAAAAAGGATATCTCGGAATTGATTATAAAACAGTGAAATATTTTTGATATTTGGGCCATGGTAATTCTAATTCATCTAATATTGAATTTTGATTTTCAGAATCTGATGATGAAATATTTATATCCATGCAAATGCTAATCTATTAAATTAAAATATTCAAATTAATAAACTTTAATCTTATCTTCTCTAGCAGTAGCACTATGGTACGTTAATTGCTATATGAAAGAGGAAAAAGTAAAAACAGCTGATTAAAAAATATAAGACTTTTTTTTTAAAAAATTGGATTAAATAATTTTTCAAATAAATAAAATATAAGACTTTTTTGATAAAAAATGCGGATTAATATTAATTTTTCAAATGAATAAAAATAAAAAGTGTTTTTAAAATTGAACGAACGTAAAATTGATCATCAAAGAAAAGGAACGCGTTCACGTTCAAAGTTCGTCAAAAAAAAGGAACGCCGTTCATCACCTTTTTCCAAAAAAAACGAACTTCGGAAAATGATGAAAGGATTAACGTTCAAAAAAGGTTAATTCTTAATAATTTAAAAGAAATCTATATAAATTTCAAAACTATCTACCCTACTCTTAAAATCAGATTTTCAAAATTCGCCTCACTGCCCCCTAAAAATTGCATAATGCCAGGTTCAAGTGGCACTCACTCGGTTTGTGTCTGCCTAATCCATCAGAATGTTAAGTTGCTAATAATAGGTAGCAATTTAGCAACTTTGACAAAAAATAGGGATTTTGAGATAAAGACTTACAAAGACATAATTCCAAAAATGATTTGCAATCCTCCACAGCCAGCCTGTTATTTTGGCGAATGTCATGATTGTCCTAGGGACCAAGCCTTAAGGGCTAAATTAGAAAATTTATTAATTGCACATGATATATACAGGATAACGTTCAAGCAATTGATAACTGTAGATAGAACCAGTTTAGAGACCCTAACACAAACTGCTGACGAATTTCTTAATTACTTATTTGATAAAATATTTATTTTGATTCGCCATTCTTTTATTACTGAACAACAAAATAGATTCCATCAGAATCTTAAAAACAACTTAGAGCTAGATCATTATTTGGTTATCTGAGATTTTTCTGAAAATTACTCTTTTATACTTCAAGATGAAGTCCAAAGTAATCACTGGGCCACTTCTCAGGTTACCCTACATCCATTTGGTATATATTATAAAGTAAATAATGTATTAAATCATATAAGTTATGTGGCCATATCCGAGTCACTGGTACATAACACTTGTTTATTTCATTTATTCCAAAAAAAATGATAAATTTTCTAAAAAATTACTTTTTATCTGAGCCAAAATACATTTATTATTATTCCGATGGGTCCGCGGCGCAATATAAAAATAAGAAATATTTTATAAATTTGTGTTATCATCAAGTGGACTTCGCCATCCCAGCAGAGTGGCATTTTTTTCCTACTGCCCATGGGAAAAATGTTTGCGATGGAATATGGGGAACCGTTAAACGCTTGGCTGCGCGGGCCAGTTTACAACGTCCTTATGAAAATCAAATAAATACTCCCTATGAATTCTTTAAATTCGCTGAGGAAAATATTAAAAATATTTATTTTTCCTATACATCCCATAAAGAATACCAAGATGAGCAAGAAGGAACGATTTTCAAGAGCTCTTTCAATATCTGGGACTCAAAAAATTCATGCAGTCTAAGTTAATTTATCACAAATAAATACAAAAAAATATTCTAGTGCTATTGAAGTCAAATTAGGAAAAATCCAAAATATAAAGCGAAATATTAACTAAAGATATTAAAGGGTATGTTATATGTTTATATGATAATAAATGGTGGTTATCATTTAAAGAAATTTTAATAAAATTATTTTAAATATTTATATTATACGCTTATTTTTAATTATTCGATAAATATTATATTATGGAATAAAAAAAATTTCTTCGAATAACTTTTTATGTTAAAATTGATATTTTAAATTTCTTGCGCCATCTAGCGGATTTTTTAAAATGCGATTTTATCTAATTATTTTTTTTGGCCCCACTCTGAAATTTTATATATGAACAGTTCTTGGCACTCTTTACAAAATATCTGAAATTTGGAAAAAAAAATTTAGTCTAACATTTTAAAAAATTAATTACAAATTTTTAACCGCAATTTAAAAAAAATATTTAAACTAAAAATTAAATTTATTTATCATACGTTCAAGAGTTTACTTATCGCTATAAAATGAGCCATAATAAATATACATAGTGCATCTAATATAAAAGTTATCTCAATTTTAAAAAATCATTTTTTTCGAAAAATGACCAAGTTGACCCACTTTGAAGCCCTATATCTCCAATTCTAATAGAGTTAAGACTCTAATATTTTGGATTCGTCACTTACAATACTTTATTAACTTTAATACCAAATTTTAACAAAATCAGATGGTCGGGTTGTAAAGTGATTGATTTGATATGAATGACCCTTTAGTTAAATATTTATTACCCCTTATTTAGTTTCATTGTGTTCATAAATTAAAATATCTTTGTTTACAATTTTTGTTATATATAAATATTATTTTCTTTCATCCAATAGCATGGAAATGATTAAATTTATTTGATAAATTGTGATTTAAATCAATTGTCTTTTTTGCTTATATAAATAAGTTGTTTTTTTTTCAAATAAAAACATTTTAGTAATCATTTGCCCTTTTATGTTAAAAATTGAATTGTTAATATAAAAGTAAATATGATTTATTATATTTAAAAGAATAAAATTTTTAACCCTATTATGCACTTCTGTCAGCCATATATATGAAAAATAATATATAGGTTTATCTAATATATTGTTTTTTAATAAATATATATAATAAAATTCAAATGCTTATGCAAGATTGATGACCACCCCAAAAAAATTTTACCCAAAATGATTAAGCTATTGAAAAATTTAGATCAAATCACCTAACGATTTTCAGAAAATCACAATTTATTGGGTACTAATAAATGCAATAAGGTCCTTAGGTGCAATTATCTTTAATTTAAATCCTTTTGATTAAAATTTGTAAATCATAAAATATTTTGTATAATAAAGATATAATATTAAAAAATGAGGAGTTATTTAGATTATTTAAAAATAGCTTGCTATTGGTTACTTTTTAATTTAATTAATACTGTAACTAGTTCCATTTTTAAATGAATGATGTGATTTTTCAAAAGTAACACTAATATTTTTCAACTTGAGCTTCAGTAAATGGCTTTTGCATGTGGTCTAATAAATTTGCTAAATCCTGTTCACAATATTCCATAACAAGATAGATGCTGTGTAGAATAAAAAAGAGAAATTTTATTTATGAGCAATTATATTAATATAAAAAATGACTTATCAAGGTTTTTTCCTAGAGCGATGTCTGACAAATGAACAATATTTGGATGTGAATTCTCCTTACTTAAGGAGAGAAGAATGGATATTTCTCTTAGAGAATTCAATGGTATTTCATGTGAGCTATTACGAGAATTATTGTATTTTCTCATATTTTTTAATGCAACTAATTTATTATTTTTCAGATCTAGCGCTTTGAAAACAACACCATAGGTCCCTTCACCCAATGTATTCAATTTCTTAAATTCTTCTACCAATCTGCAATTATTGTGCTTTAGCCAATATATTTTACATTAAAAAAAAATAATCAGAATCAATAATACCAAATTCTTTTTATCAAGTGTATAAAACTTAGAATAACAAGTTTGAGATAATTGCATACTTGTAATTTTCACAATTTCATAACATGCTTATTTAAAAACATGTGAAGAAGTTGAAATGGCGCAAAATAAATTTTTTTATTAAAATTTACTGCGCATACTCAAATCGTAAAAGAAACCTAACCTGGTTCCGTTCATATCAGCCAATTAAAAATATTGTTAAAATTTTATTTACTATTTTTTTAAACCTTAACATCCTTAATAGATTATATATATTGTCATATTGTAATATTCTGCCTAGTAACGTAATGAAATTTATGGTAAATAATCTTAAATGACATTTATTGCAATAACATAGAGAATTTTTATTAGCATAGGTATTTTATTGTAATAGATTAATCATATGTATTTATGAAATTAATGTAATAAATTAAGTAACAAAATATTCATTAGTTTTATAATAAAATATAAAATATTTATTCTTATACCATAATCTTTGCAAAATCAATTTTCTTCCTTAAAAGTCATCATGATCAATGACAAGAAGATAAAGAGAACACCTCAACATCCTCATCCTGTAGCTTTTTCTCACCCTCAACCTCATCTACAGCACAATGGTGCACCAGCTAATTTTTATTATAACAACCTACCACCTGCATTAGTTAATTCTTCCTATCAACGTCAATTCATGCTCAATAATGGCGCCATTGTAAACCAAGTTTTAAATGGGGGCCTTCCTGGCCACTACGATGCCAACCTTTTTTATCAGGCTACCCCTGCATCACCTGCTCCTTCATCTACTCATAGGAACAACAATAATAACAATGGAGCTCTGAATAGTTTAACATCTAATGTAAACAACTTGAACAACAACATCAATTTTCAGTTAAACACTGGAGCTTTCAGGCTTGCTGGACCTCACCACCAGGCTGCCTTTTTCCCAGCATCTCCCCTGATAGGCAATAGTCCTTATGTAGTGGCCTGTTCTCTGCCCTCATATTTGGCCCCACCATCTCAACATCATATGCCATTAGCACCACAATCCCAACAACAGATTTTATGGGCTTCACCATTGCCAGCAACAACACATCATCAGGGTTTCACAATGGTTCCCATAAAAAGCTCTTATTCAAACTTAATAGGGCAACCACAGCTTCAACCAGAAATTTTATCAAGCATTAGCAACAATAATCCTATGCCCTCATCTCCATCATCATCCAACAATCGTGAGTCACAACACATTGCAATCACCAATACAATAGAACCCAATGCTACAATTAATGACTCAAATACAATGGCATCAACCCTTAGCTCAAACATAATTGACATCACCCAACTCAATCAAAATTTAATTAGAACAAGTTCTAATCCCAATGCATCAATTGAACCTAATATAGCCCGAAACTTTTACAATCCACCCATCAATAATATGCCTCCTCAAGCTGCTATAATGACCTCAAATATAACAGCGATTGGGTATTCCCCTCAAAATTATTCATCTGATATGGTGTCCTTTTATTTTACACCTTCAATGGGGGCTTTTAATGAATCTAATATCATGTCATCCATCACACCAAATCAAATGATTAATCCATTGCCAAATAGCCCAGCTGAACCTCATATGCCTCTTGATGGATCTAAAAATATGCAGTTGAAGATGGGTTTAACTTTACAAAATTCAATAAACCAATCTGTCCCTTATTCTAATCAACAATCTTCAGTTAAAAAATATTCGAATACATCAGATATTAGCAATTCCACAAATAGGCTTCCTACATCTCTCATTATTCCACATAATACATCAATTACTAATAGTCCTTTATTCACTCCTTTAGCCTACAACAAAATCAGCAATATTGTAAACACTGTTAAAAAATCCACTCAAATTTTAATAGTAAATCCAGATACAGGTGACAGTTACACACCTCAAGAATTGGCAAAAGACTACAGTGATAGAAGTTCTGTAAATGAATTTAGAAATAAAATTACTAGCAAAGCATTTGCCCCTGAAGATGAAGAAAATGAATTTGATAGTTCAGAAGCCATTGAACCACATGATGCTAAACAAAATGATAGTGATAATGTTGGAGATTTTGTAATGGATACAATCAATAATGTTGAATTAAATATGGAAGAAAAACCATCAAATAATAATAAAAATGACTTGGAAAATAATGAAATACAAAATAATGAAATTTTGCTATCACCAGCTAAAGATGCTCCAGTTCATATGGATAATACTAAATTCATACCTAATTCAATTGAAATTGAAGATCAAATGGATATTGATGTAAGTAATAATGTTTCTTCAAATATTGAATTAAATGAAGATAATAATATTGACAAAGAGGGTATAATTATCATACCGGAACCTAATGTTTCCCTGGATAATTCTTTAAGTCAATACATGCAACCAAAAATCTTGAAATATTCAATTCCAGAACTTATCAACATTGGGCAATCATTAGATCCAGTATATTGCCCTGCTATACTAAAAAGCTACCCTCTCATTTTTGTCCACAATCAAGCCATGCCTAACATAAACAAAAAAATACCAGTACATGATTATCGATATCAATACAACCAAAATATTCCTACTAGAAACACCAATATTATGTACAAGAAACCCCCAAATATAAGTTCTTCATCGGAAAATGCTTGGAAATCTTTGGAACAACGCAAACATAAGATGGATACAGAAATGTTTATCACAGAGGAACTCATTGGCAAAGTTAAGGCAATACTCAACAAAATGGCCCCCAACAATTTCAATATACTCCTGGAAGATTTCAAAGAGTTGAACAAGCTTATCACTACAGATGAAAGGGTAGAGGGTGTGGTTGGTGTTATTTTCAATAAGGCCCTTCTGGAACCTGTTTATGCAGATGCCTATGCCAACTTTTTAAAGGTTTTTTTAAAACCTTTTTATTATATTCACTTTAATTTTCTATTTTATTATTTGCAACTTTTTATTCTCTTTCTAGCATAAAAAATAATTGCTCATATCTCTAATGTAATTTTTTATGATATGCATCCAATTAGGTAAGATTTAATATTGTTATATACTCTAATTCGTTAAAATCCTTACCAGATAAAACCGTCACCATTTTTATGGCTAATTATTTAATATATGAGACTACATTTACTCAAGTTATGCGATATAGAGATTTGCAAATCATGGCCAGTCCCATTAAATTTTTCTATATTTAAATAAATTAGGCTGGGTGGAAAATTAAATTATATTAATATAGAATCGTATTTAGCTTTTTATAAGATGATTTAAAAAAGGGCATGACTAAAATACGCGTCTCCGAAAACTACGCGTCCCCGGTCAAACGGGTTTAATTTATATAATATTAATAAAAAATCTTATTTAGCTTTATAAGATGAGTTAAAAAATGTTTTTTATGATTTAAAAAAAAAAGCAGATTCATATTTAGCTCATTAAATGAATATAAAAAATGTTTTTTATGATTTAAAAAAAATGATAACTCAGTAAAATTTTTAAAAAATGATAACTTAGTAAAATTTTTAAAAAATTATTTTTTTAAATTAAAAACTACGCGTCCCTGGTCAAGATACATTTTTTTTTATAAAATAAAAGCAGATTCATATTTAGCTCATTAAATGGATACAGAAAATGTTTTTTACGTGATACGTGATATATAGCGCATATGCCCTCTAGTGTTGAATGCAACAGAGCTACGCTAGGTTTTCCTCATTTCCATCTTATTGGAATTAATTTAATTTAGGTATAAAAGTCAAAATATGAGGAGCCCTCCACACGTTTGTGGGCAAGCCGCATGTACTTGTAGGCGCAACATTTCGAAAAACATTACTTATACCTCTATAGGCTTATTTAAAAGGGAGTGGGACAACAAAAGAGCCTATACCCTAGAATTACAGTGAAAGTTAATTACATTATGGTGAGTTGAGGACAATTTTAAATTAAAAAAAAACAATTTTTAGTAAGGAAATGCAAAAGAATACTTATAGGAGGATTTGAATGGTTGTTGATATTGGAAATATTTGAGATTTAAAAAAAAGTGGTAACTTAGTAAAATTTTTAAAATACTAATTTTTTACTTAGAAAAACACGCGTCCCCGGTCAAGATACATTTTTAAAAATAAAAGCAGATTCATATTTTGCTCATTAAATGGATACAGAAAATGTTTTTTTTGATTTAAAAAAAGTGGTAACTTAGTAAAATTTCTAAAAAAAACAATTTTTTTCATTTTTTGACTAAAATACGCGTCCCCAGTCAAGATAGATTATTTTTATAAAAATGAATACAGAATCGTGTATAGTTTTTCAAGGAGATTCCGAAAATGGTATTTATAATTTTTTTTTAAAAATTATTTTCGAAAATTTTTTTTGACTAAACTACGCGTCCCCCGGTCAAGATACATTTTTTTAAAAAAAATAAAAGTAGATTCAAATTTAGCATATTAAATGGATACAGAAAATGTTTTTTTTTATTTAAAAAAAAGTGGTAACTTAGTAAAATTTTGAAAAAACACTTTTTTCATTTTTTGACTAAACTACGCGTCTCCGGTCAAGATAGATTATTTCCATTTATTGTAACAAGTTCAACTAAAACATTCATAAATATCTCTTCACACATTTGAATATGAATGCTTTTTTTAAGCAAAATTTTTTAATATTATTTTCATTCTTCTTTAAAATACTGACTGTAGGCTTTTTAACAATGTCTTCTTCCAAAAATTTGGTTTTTCTATTTAAATATTCCTCAAAGATTATAGAATGATGTCTTTTTAAATGTCTTTCCAGGTTAGTATTGTGTGAACCTTTTATCATTATGTGGCAGGTTTTGCACTCAGAATCCCCTTTAGTTGTATTATAATACTCTGACAAAATATCTTTTAATTTTACACTAAAAAAACAATTTAATTTGTTTAAAACTTAAAAGTATAGACACATAGAAATATTTTTTTTATTAAGGCTGCATCCAAAATCTTAAAAATATAAATAAATTTTGAAGAAAAAAATTACATAATCTATTTTTAATGTAAAAATAAAATAGTGTTCAATTTCATTTTTCATATTTATAAAAATTTCACAAATTTTTATAAAAGAATGTACAATTTATCTTAATACCCATAGACTTTTATACTAATATATTTTAGTGTCAAAATAATTAAGGAAGCATAAGAGTGCACAACCTTTGGTGCAAAAATGACTTAAAAATTAGATATTCTAAAGAAAATAGGAAAATTTGGAAGGAAAAAGAAAAAACAAAACTTGAATTATGATCTAATGAAAAAGAAATTTTAACTGTAAAGGCTAAATTTAATAAATTATAATCTGGTAAAAATAAAAAATTATAATTTAAAAGATGCTGGAAAATTATATTATTTTTATCACAATTTTATTTAACTCAAATATAATAATTTTTATATATATTTATGGAAAGATTATCTTTCAAAATAGGATTATTGGTTTTCCCAACTGTTTATAAAATATTGATATAATTATTTACAACATAGTATATATTAATTAAGTATATAAAAGATCTAAATATAACTATTATCAAATAATAGGTTCTTAATAACTGAAAGGTAATATAAAATAATAAATACAATTAAATATTTATAATCATATCAAGCATTTTTAAATATTTTAATTTTTTTAAAGCTTAAATGTGTCCAAAGTGTTTTGTTATTAATTTGTGAAAATTTTAAGATTTTTTCAAAACATTTTGGATGCAGCATAAATAAAATAATATGATAATATTTATTTTGATTAATTTAAATTTAATTGGCAAAAAATCATATTTTTAATAGCACAATAATCACTTAATAAAATTTTATAAAACAAATAAACAAAGTTATTATATAAGATATAATTATAAAATATTATTACTTGCAGTTAAAAAAAATTCCAAATATTTCACTTTCAAATCAAAATACTCAAAGTATTCCTAATAAGAGCAAATAAATTATCACAATTAAAATATTATTACTTACACTATAAAATAATTCATGGTATATCTCTAAATAAAATGAAATGAAGTCCCAGAAGAAAAACGAAAAAACGCTAATATATAATAAATGATTCCACGAAAAAATTAATAAAATTATAAAAATTTTATATTATTTAAATTTTTATGTTAGAAATTTTTTTATAATACCCTGAACCCTTGAACCCTCCACTTTTTAAAAGGGTTCGGGTTCAGCCAAAATATGAAGGCTCCGGGTCCGGGTTCACATCCCTTTTTCGAAAATTAATTTTTTTTTAAATAAAAAATTATAAATACCATTTTCGGAATCTCCTTGAATAACTATACACGATTCTATATTCATTTTTATAAAAGACGCGTATTTTAGTCAAAAAATGAAAAAAAAGTGTTTTTTCAAAATTTTACTAAGTTACCACTTTTTTTAAATAAAAAAAACATTTTCTGTATCCATTTAATGAGCTAAATATGAATCTGCTTTTATTTTTTAAAAAAAAATGTATCTTGACCGGGGACGCGTAGGGACGCTTAGTTTTTTTATGTAAAAAATTAATATTTTAAAAATTTTATTAAGTTATCATTTTTTTTAAATCATAAAAAACATTTTCTATATTCATTTAATGAGCTAAATATGAATCTGCTTTTATTTTTTAAAATAAATTGTATCTTGACCGGGGACGCGTAGTTTTTTGATGTAAAATAATTATTTTTTTTTTAAATCATAAAAAACATTTTTTAATCGTCTTATAAAGCTAAATAATATTTTTTATTAATATTATATAAATTAAACCCGTTTGACCGGGGACGCGTATTTTAGTCATACCCTTTAAAAAAATGTTTTTTTTTAATTTAAAAAAATATAGTAAAATTTTAAAATTTTTTTTTTACATGACTTTAATACGCGCCCCTAGGCACCCTCTATCAAAGAAGTTTAATTTATAAAATAGAATGCAGAATCATATATAGCTTTAAAAGGAATCAAAAAATGTTAATATTATATTTTAAAATTTTTTATAACTTATTAGCTTTTGAAAAAACACATTAAAAAAATGAATACCATCATTTTCTGAATCTCCCTGAAAAGCTAAACATGATTCTGCATTCATTTTTTAAAAATAATGTGTGGCGCATATTTTAGTCAAAAAATTTCTTTTTTGATAATTTAATTTTTTTTAAAAAAATGAATACGGCCATTTTCTAATTCTCCTTAAAAAGCTAAACATGATTCTGCTTTCATTTTTTTTAAATGTATTGATGGTGCAAAATTTTTTTTTTCGATAATTATAATTTTTTTATTAAAATGATTACTATTATTTTTTGAATCTTCTTGAAAAGCTAAACATGATTCTGCTCATTTTTTAAAAATAATGTTTATTTACTGAAAAAAGTGTTTTTTCAAAACCCACTAAGTTATAAAAAATTATAAACTTAATACATTTTCTAAATCCTTTTAATGAGCTTTTTACTAGTTGTGCAGATAATTCAAAACATTTCCTATTTATTAATTTATTTGGAAATAAAATTATTTGACAAAAAATTGTTAAATAACATATTTATATATTCTTATAATTTTTGCAAGTTAAATAATTTTATTTACAAACGAATTAAAAAATATGGAAATGTTTTGAATTAAATCTGCACAACACTGTATGTTACTAATTTTTTAAATTAAAAAAAACATTTTTTTAAAATCATCTTTTAAAGTTAAATACGATTTTATAATTTAAATTAAGCTTTTAGCCATGCCCTCAAATGGCTGATCAAACATTTCAACTGATCTCTTTCAATTTTGATAAAAATTTGATCAAAAATGAAATTGTCAGATGCTAAATGATTGGGGTTAAATTTAAAGCGAAATTAGTTTGAATATTGATTCTAATATTAATAACTGTCAATAATTGATAATTCTGAGAAAGAAGTCATTATTTTTTTTTTAAATAAGCCATTAAAAATATTTTGAGTTTGGCTTGTAAATCTGGCTTCGGTTCTAACACATTATTTTTATATTTAAATTATTATTTAATATTCGGTCTTTTAGTAAATGGGTAATTCCATAAATTGACCAGAGATTTGGTCGACCTTTGAAAATGAATGAAACTTGGTAATTGTTATAAATACGATATAATATATTAAATGTTATAAACGTCATATAATATATTATTATGATGATTGACATTATTGATATTTTTTATACAACGAGATAATAAAGTCATATGTAGTTTAAATTAGTAAAGTAATTATAATGTATATTTTATATAAATCTAAATTTAATGTCTTAGCCCAAATATATCCTGAGTTATTGGCCTTCAAAGTTCGATGTGAACATTTTTCTCTTTTAACGAATCTAAAATATAAATGTAGCCCTTAAATTTCTCCTTAAGAAAATGCAAAAATTATTTTTAAAATATCTTCAGTGTCATTGTATTTCCGGTAAAACAAAAAAATATTTTGAAAAGTGCCACATTTAAAATGATGAAACTCGTGAAATATGTGTATTGGCAGTATATTTACAAATAAATAAAAAATATTAATTATTAATGGAAAAAATTAGAATTTAAATTTAATTTTTATAATTTGGAATAAAAAATTCAATTATAAAGATGTATGAAACTCATCAAATCAAATAATATTACCAATATATTTATATATAAGCGAATATATTAACGTAGAAAATAATCCAAATTTTATTTAGTTTTATAATTTTAAGGATAAAAAATCAATTGGGTGCTATCTATAAAAATAATTATAATATATTTTCCTTTTATTAGGGTAGAAAGTCTTATTTTTAAAAAATTTCTAGTGTATATGTTAGTGTCAATGTGTTATTTTTACAACTTTATATCCTATTTTGAGCGCGTTTTTAAAAATTTAAAAATCTGATTTTCCGGAAATGTATTCCAACATTTTTGTAATACCTACCCTATGAATTTCAGACAATTTTTCCATGAATTTTTAAACTTAATATAATTTATATTAGATTTTCCATATATATAAATTATAAATGGCTTAAAGGTTAACAGCAAAATTGTCAGTTATTCCAAACATGATAGAATATATTTCCTGTAAAATCCGTTTTTTAAATTTAAAAAGCGCTCTCAAAAAATGATTTAAAGTAGTAAAAATAACACATTGCCTGACAAAACACATTGACGCTAATATATATAATAATTTTTATAGAAATTATAATGTTTATTTATAATATACAGGGTTTCCCATTCAAAAAAGGAAAAGTCCCAATTAAAAAAGGAAAAGTTTCAATCATTAAAGGAAAAGGTCCGATCAAAAAGGAAAAGTGTCAATCATAAAAGGAAAAGTGTCAATTAAAAAAGTAAAATTCTCAAAAAGAAAGAAAAAAGTCCGATCAAAAAAAGTGTCAAACAAAAAAGGAAAAGGTCCAATCAAGAAAGGAAAAGTGTCAATCGTAAAGGAAAATTCCCAAAAGGAAAGGAAAAGTGTCAATCAAAAAAGGAAAATTCCCATTCAAAAAGGAAAATAGTAATTTTTTAAAATTTTTTGTCAATTTTTATTTATTTTTGTTATTCCTTCTTAATTTATATCTAAATTTTTGCGATTTCTTTAGGTTTTTTTCTTACTGATCTTTTCTCAATTTATTTCTAACTTTTTGCGATTTTCACTTTTATTTTTCTTACTATATCCTCAATTTATTTTTCTTCTCAGACTATTCTTTTGTATTTTTAAAAATAATTTATAAATTTAGGTCCATTTTTCTAACAATTCTTTACGTTTTTTTCATTATACATACAATATTCTTTTTATAATTTTTTCATTGTAATCTTTTACATACATTTCTAACCTTTTCAATCTGTTTAAGTCATTTTTAATCTTTATTTTTTTGAGCATTTCTAAATTTTTTTCTTCTTATTTTTGATAATTATTTTTTAAAATTGTATTTAATGTTTTTGGCAGATAATATAATAACAATTGCTAAATTAAATTAATCGTTTGGTTATAGTGTACCTTTTTAAAATTAAATACGCTTGACTGTAATACCAAACGATATGTAAATTAATAAAATATAATCATTTTTAAATTCTTATTTTTAAAATTATCAAAAATGAGAAGAAAAATCATTGAGAAAAGCTGAAAAAAATAAAGAGATTAAAAAGGTTAGAAATGTATGTAAAAGATTACAATGAAAAAATCATAAAAAGAATATTGTATGTATGATGAAAAAAAAGTAAGGAATTGTTAAAAAATGGACCTAAATTTATAAATTATTTTTAAAAATACAAAAGAATTATCAAAAATGAGAAGGAAAATTAATTGAGAGAAGATACAGTAAGAAAAATAAAAGTAAAAAAAATCGCAAAAAGTTAGAAATAAATTGAGAAAAGATCAGTAAAAAAAACGTAAAGAATTGTTAAAAAAATGAACCTAAATTTATAAATTTATTTTAAAAATACAAAAGAATTATCAAAAATGAGAAGAAAAATATATTGAGAGAAGATATAGTAAGAAAAATAAAAGTAAAGAAAAATCGCAAAAAGTTAAAAATAAACTGAGAAAAGATACAGTAAGAAAAAATCGTAAAGAAATCGCAAAAATTTAGAAATAAATTAAGAAAGAAAAAAAAAATTTAAAAAAATTACTATTTTTCTTTTTTGAATGTGAATTTTCCTTTTTTGATTGACACCTTTCCTTTTGGGAATTTTCCTTTGGGGATTTTCCTTTTTCGATTGACACTTTTCCTTTTTTGATTGGACCTTTTCCTTTTTTGATTAGACTTTTACCTTTCTTTTTGGTAATTTTCCTTTTTTGATTGACACTTTTCCTTTTTTGTTTAGACCTTTTCCTTTTTTGATTGAACTTTTTCCTTTTATGATTGACCCTTTTCCTTTTTTGATAGGACCTTTTCCTTTTATGATTGAAACTTTTCCTTTTTTGATTGCGACTTTTTTCCTTTTTTGAATGGGAAACCCTGTAAAATGGATATTTTTATTTATAAAACATTATAATTATTCTAAAAATAGCACCCTCTATATATTAATTAATTTATTCCTAAAATTATAAAAAACTAAATACAATTTAAATTCTTATTTACTTGATTATTATTAATATTTAAATATATTAGTAATGGACATATTTAGTAAATTTCATTATTTTAAACACATGTAAGGGCTGTGCCGATATTAAAATCATATGGTTATAAATCTGATCTCAGAATTTATACAAGTTAAGCAGTAAATTTTTAATGCTTAACAATCTTGGAATATTAATAAAACTTTAAATAATTTATCAAACAAAAATATTTTAAAGCAGCATCGGCAAAGGAAATGAGCCTATGTTTTGGATCGGTTTTTAACAATTTTTTGCCGATCTGATCCAGAACAAATTCTTGATCTACCAATTCTCACGTTTCCTTATAATAATTTGTTTCATAACAAGTTTTAATGTTATATCGATACTCCAATATGTTTATGCATAAAAAATTAGCTGCCAATCTAGTGCCAATATACACATTTATAAACATGCAATTTTAATATCGACAGAGCCCTAATTTTTTATTCCTAAGATTTTAAAAAACTAAATAAAATTTAAATTCTTATTTTCTCCATTAATATTTTTACTTTAATATTTAAGTATAAAACATGTTTAGTGAGCTTCATCGTTTCATATTAGGACCTTCTCAAAATAATTTTTTTTTGTTTTACCTGTAATAAAATGACATTGAAATATATTTTAAAGTAATTTTTGCATTTTCTGAATGAGAATTTTGAGTGCTACAAAATGATATATAATTTGTTACTTTCGATTAAAAATATTTTGAGTAATTTTCGTTAAAAAAGAGAAAAAGGCTCTCATCGAACTTTGAAGGTCCATAACTCGAGATATATTTGAGCTAGAGCATTAAAATTTTGATTTGTATAAAATATACAATCTATTTAATCTTCGTGCCAAGTTTCATTTATTTTAAAAATGATCGTCTGAAAATCACGTTATTTTAGTCGATTTGTCATAAAATTACCCAAATATTTAATTTTTTGATGTCATTTTCTAAAGTTTGACCTTTCATGTCTCAAAAAATATATGAGCTACAATAAATTTTTATACTGCTTTAGTTACTTGTACCTTAGGTTGTATATAAAGTTGCATCCAGATCCCATGGGGTCAGGAGAATATCATTTGTTTGAGATTGAATTACCCCATTACTTGTGATACATAAGCTGAGTCATAACTTGAAGCAACTGAGCCATTAACCCATTAATCACCAATGTTTGATTTTTGAAATATCAACTTTGTTAAATAATTCTCTTGTTTTATAATTTATAAATTAAGAAAAGGTGTGGCCTGTCTCGCCATATCTTTTTCTTTTAAAATGCAAACAAAAATTTTTTGAACTTATTTAGTAAAATTTATAAGCTTTTAAAATTTCTATATTTTTTTCGAGGATGAAAATTCAAAAAAAAATTAATTTAGATAAAATGTGAATCAGAATCATATTTAAAAAAATTTTATTTTTATTATGTAAACCTAATTATATTTTTTAAATAAAAATACCTTTTCCCAAAGATTCTAGCTAATCTCTGCAATGTCACAACTTGCAAACCAATGTCTGTGCTGCTCAATATGTCTCAGAAGGAGTTTTACACAGATGGAGAATTAAAATCAATCAAAGATAAGGAATGGAATAAAAAAATTGAGGAGGCTACAAATGAGACTGAACGGCGATTCCTGGAGGAAGATTACCATGAATATCTGCTTAAGACTCAGGACCGTTATCTAGGGAATATCAAGTTCCTAAGCGAACTTTACAAACATGCCCTTATCAGTGACAAAATATTTAGCGATTGTGTCAATACACTTTTCAAAACCAAAACGGACTTAGCATATGAAGGCCTATGCAACCTTCTGCGTTTTGCGGGTAAAGTTTACATTGACCGAAATAAAGTACAGAAGGATCACTTAATAGACGACCTTATTTTAAGCTTTTCAGATTTAGTGCAGGAGAATTTACTTCCCCCTCGGATTCGTTTTATGATCATTGATATCATAGAGCTAAAAAATAACGATTGGGTGCCTCGTAGAGATGAAGAAGTTCCTAAAACGTTTGAGCAGATTGACAAGGAGATAGCCCTTGAAAATGAGGAAGGCAATAAAATAGCGGCAGCTGCTACAGCCAAAAAACATTATATCAAAAATAATAAAATGTATAGCAAACCTCGATCCATTAGTCCCCTCACTGCAGCCACTAACTTGCCAGAGGAAACAAAGAGCCTAGCCTGTAGACCTTCCTCCATCGTCCCAAGGCAGACCAATCCGCCTATTGAACAAATGAAGCTGGCTCCCAAAAAATGGAAACTCGCTAAAAGTATGCCAAACACGTTACTAAGTGCGGCACCTATCCCTCTGCTTAGCCTCTCCACTGATAAACCATTGGCTTCTCCCCCTACCCCTTCAATCGTTCCTTCTGATGTTACCTTCAATGATATTCTCACTGAATATTTTTCTAACGACCAGAATATAGAGTTAGTTCAAGCTTGCCTCGCATTCAACTTATCCACTGTTCTAGCCATTCCTTCCGTTTTCAATCACGTGTTTGATCAACCCTTGACAAAGCGACACAAATATGGTGCAGCCCTTTCCGCTCTTTTGAATGCCAACTGCATTGTTTTAAAAGACGTGATTCAGGCAATGGCCTCTTACCTTACTGCAGTCGAAGACCATTTGGAAGATTACCCTATGCTGTTTGAATATTTGGCAGATGTCTTGAAACCTTTAATAATCCCTGGTGATAGTAATATGAGTGAGTATTACGATATTCTATTGACTAGCTTACCTAATGAGAGTCACCGGAGTGCACTGACCATTGCTCTGAATAAAAATGATATATCTTTTTCTTCATAATCTTGTGGGGTTTTTGAGTCTTGAAGAAGCCTATCATCTCCAAAATCGTTAGTTATACTTTTCGCTTTACGTCATAATTTGGATCTCTTCATATTATGTATTATCATACATGCTTCGATAATAAGGAGACCAAATAAATCAACCGTAACATATTTATGATATTCTACGAATGAATCACATGATACGAATTCCTAATTTATTTAAATGATGAAAAAATTTGACACTTTTATAATGTTTCGCCACTAACATGCATTAAATCGAACGGTGAAAACACTTTATATAAATCAAATTTTTTGAGCGCCTTCTCTTTAATTTTTGCATGTTAATTTTTTTATATTTCTTAAAAATATGTAATTCTTTCCTGGATATGTATAACATTTACGTTTAAATTAGTCAATATATTTTTTTTATTTTTACTTATATAAATATATATATAATATTTAATTACCATATGATAAAATTCAAAAATATTTATCAGTTTCCAAAAGGATATATATAAAATGTTACTTTACAATTTTTTTTAAAAAATATTTTGCAAATATCGCGCTATATATGTTCATTTATTATGTTTCCATGACTTGTGAATTTTAATTTCTTTATATAATTTAAAATGGGAAATAAATTTTTTTAAAAATAAATTTTTTTATATTTCGCGATCGACGAAATACGAAATTAATAACGATTAAAAGTCGATGATGAAGATTCGAGCGCATTTACTTGTAATTGTATTGATTAATAATTAAATAAATAAAATGTATCTTCCACTTTGTTGGGATTGAAAGGGCTTTGTTATTTGCTAGGCTTGGTTTTATTATATTATATTTTGCCAAACATTTTATAATGAATTATTTAAATTATCTGTTGGTTTGTCGTCTATACCCAGGGTTGCCAAATCAAAATTTTCAAATTGTGAGATAATTTTTACGGATTCTGCATACTAAGGCCGGATGAGGGGGTAGGACTTTGAGGTACTCCCTTTTTTACCTATAGTTGCCACTTTAGTATACTTCACAAAGTCAGCATAATTTATTCTTTATAATACTTCCAAATTTAGGCGTTTTTTGCATTTTATCAAAAATTATATTTACGGTAGATACTAGAGGTCTGCAATGGGGGTTTTTAGCCCACAAGACTTTCCGTCCAATATTTTTAAAATATTTAACCAGCCCACCCAATTCGCTCATAATTTTTTAAAATTATACCCTCTTACCCATGAGTCTAAAATTCTTTACCCGCCCGCCTGCCTATTAGTTAAAATTTTTTACCCATCAGCCCATTATATAAAAAAATTTTTTAACCCATGCTCCCCATAAAATTTAAATAAGCTCATTCTTTCAATTTTTTAAAATCAAAATTAAAAATTTAATTCAATTTCTTCAGCGCTACACCCCTACAAAAATTATAATTTAGGAAATTTCTATGTTGAGCAAAAAAAATTGTTCAATTTAAATTACGGATAAGGAATTTATTTGATTTAATAAAATATATGTAAAAATAGTCCTGTAAATATTTCTAAAAAAATCGAATGCGTTCAACGTTCATTGACAAAAATCGAACGCGTTCAAGTTCACTTTCAAAAAAAGGGAACGCGTTCACGTTCATGAATTCAAATTATGATAATTTTTTTTAAATTTTTCTAATATAAATAAATGTCTTATATTTATTAACACAATTATTAGCCATGTTAAAAAATAATATGGTTTTTATTTTGATAATATAATTATTTCAAAATAATATATCAAATAAAAAGATGTTTTTATTTATAAAAAATTTTTCTTATATATATTTAATAACAATATTTTCAAAATTTTCATCTGATAAACAAGAACGCTTGGCAGTTAATACGGCATTAGCTATACTAAAAACGCACTCAAGGGTAGATGAGGTGATTGCGGTAAACTCATTTAACGTGGGGAATTTATTAAAAACATTTATTGTTTTGTTATTTGCTTCAAAGAATTGAGATAAGTTATCCTCCAATCCATTCTCTACTTCCTCGACAAAAAAAAGGATATCTCGAAATTAACAGTTCTTGCATTATCATTTCTAGGGTTTTCAAAGCATTTTTTTCAATAACGCTATAAGTTTATTTTTAATAGGTTCGTTCTGTGGAAGTTTTATCCATGGCCATTGAAGCTTGAATACTGGATGTATAATTGCAGAAAGAACATTGATTGATCTTCATATATATGTTCAAATCTTTAAAAAAAATATATGTAATTAATTGAGAGTGATAGGTTTAATACCTTTTATTAATCCCATTTAATACTACGTCTATCAATGGTTGACCATATTTGAGGCCACTAATTTTTTTTAATTTTAAAATAACTCGTTATTGTTGGGGTCAAATATCCTAAATGCATTTTTTCTTCAAATTTAATGATTTTACTTAGTTATATTATATAAAATAAAATAATTAATATTACAATCAAATGTTTTAAATTGGTACCTGAAGATTTTGACAATATAATACTTTTTGGGCACATTTTACACTTGGTAAGCATTGAATTAGTTCCTTCAATATAGGATGTTACTGTAAAACATTATCATATTTGGCCATGGTAATGATAATCCATCTGATTTTGGATTTTCAGAATCAGATGATTAGGATTAAATAATAATATCCATGCTTATGCTAATCCTTTAAATTAAAATATAAACAATAATATTCAAATTAATAAACTATGTGTTAAAAAAATTGAAATGTGAAAAGGAAATAAGCAGCCGATTAAAAAATATAAATAATACTTTTTAAAAAAAATTCGGAAATATTAAAATTTTCAAATAAATAAAAACTATTTTAATTGAACGAACGTTAAATTCGAACGGTCATAAAAAAGGAACACGTTCAAAGTTCGTCAAAAATTAAAGGAACGCCGTTCATCATTTTTTTCCAAAAAAACGAACTTCATAAAAAATATAATATAAAATTAATATTTATTGATATAACATTTAATTATAATGCAAAAATAATAATGAATCAACATTTTCTGGATTCACGCACATTCCTTTTGGTTCTATAAACCTTCCAGCAATGTTAATTCTTTGTTCAGAAGAAGCGCTAGCTACTTGATAGTTTCCATAAATTTTTTTCTTGTCCTTTCCACCAAAGTAGGATATCCGTTTGAAGTATATTTTCTATTTAAGTGGATATTTAAATAAAGAGTGAAACCATTAATAATAAATAAAAAAAGTAATTTAAACTAATTGTCTAATAAATGTAAACCTAAACTAAACTAAGTAGCCTAAAATCTCGCTAAATTATGCAAAAACTCGATACTTTAAGATTTAAATATTTTGTTATGAGCCACATCTTCCCATCTGTTTAATTTTGATGTGGATACTATCTACAAACATTGCATTTATAATTTAATACCTTTAATTGAATTCTCTTTGCTTTTGGAGAAATGGGTAAAATCAGATTTTCATCCACGTTGATGTTATATTCTTCCATGCAAATACATGTTTTCGATATCAACACATCCTCAGATGTCAATTGGTATTAAAAATGTTAAAATTTCATGGAGCATTTTTTTATTATTTACATATATGATTTTAAATAACAAATAAAAGTTTGGGCGAGCTAAAAACCTGCCCAATGCAGACCTTTAGTAAATACTGTGCGAATTTGGGAAATGTTTTTGCGTTTTGTAATATTAAAAAAGACGTAAATATATTTTTTAAGTTATTTTTTCACTTATTAACCACTTAAACAAGATATCAATTCAATTTGCAGTACCCGATGTGAACACCATATTAAGATTATTTAATTTTACTTTACTTAAAAATTGAAATGTAACATAACTAAGATGTCACTAATTTCTTGGATATAATTTTTTAATTTTGCTATAGCCATAAAACTATAATAAATATATAAGTATTTTTGGTAAGAATAAAGAAAAATACCAATAAAATTGAATTCTTATAAGCTTAATAGCTTTTTACACTCGGCACACCTTTAATATATCCAAAAGTTAACTTTACAATTGTTTCAAACTTTACAATTGTTTCAAACTTTTTTATTATTCCTATAAACACGAATTAATTTACGTTCCTTAAATCATGGATGTAAACCCGGACCCTGAACCCTCGTATTTTGGCTGAACCCGGACCATTTTTAAAAGTGGAGGGTTCTATAGGTGTCATAAAAAATTTTTAAAATATAAATATTTTTTTAAAAAAATAATATAATTTTTTTTAAATTTTATTAACTTTTTTGTGGAATCATTTATTTATCTTCGCGTTTTTCTTTCAATTTTCTTCCTTCCATTTTTTAGAGATTGATATCATAAATTATTATCCAGTGTAATAATATTTTATTATGTAAATTTATTAATAGAAATACGTTGATTATTTTGAAAGTAAATTATTTTGTAGTACAAGTAATAATATTTTAATTTAAATGATAATGCACAACACGTTGGTTCTCAATTTGTATGATGCTAGAATGATTATTAAGTTTGAAAGATTTCTGTAATGATTTTATTATATAAGCATGTGAAGTCATTTTGTCGGAAGATGATTGGTGCCAAATAAAGGACCTTACTAGTGTATTAGTTCCTTTAAAAATAACAATATTGATTATAATCAGAACAATTATGTTTATTTGATTTTAAGGTATATATGGATTAGATGCCGATTAGATTTAGAAAAATTTACAGTCCTTTTTATACGAAATATTAGAAAACATGAAAATTCTAGAGCAACAATATTTGCAAAATAGTGTTGTATACGCTTCTATATATTTAGACCCTCGATATCAAGTTTTATTGAATATTGAGCAAAAACAAACTAAAGACCATCTTAAGGATTTATGGCTTAAACAAAACTCCATTATTTACAATATATATTGGAGGCTACGACAATGCTTATTAGTGGTAGTGGTAATTATAATAATGACAGCAACATTGATGATCTTGAAATTTTACTTTTAGATAGAAAAAAAAATCAAATTATCATCAGATAAAAAGGAGGATCAAAAAATGCCCATTGCATCTTTAATAGTAAAGTTCTCAGAAGTTAAGAGAATAAATAAGGATATAAATATTTTAAATTTCTGGGAAGAAAATTCTTCAATATACCCAGAATTATTTATCTTCTAGAATCTTCATGGCTGTACTGCCTACACAGGTACATTAATTTTATAAAGATAACTATCTATTTTAGGTAAGGGTAGAAACTATCTATTTTAGGTAAGGGTAGAACGTGAATTTTCATCTTTGAAATATATATTGTACTTTACGTGGAAATCTCAAGGATGATATTTTAGAAGATATTATGATTGTGCGAGAATAAAACATTTAAAATACAAATTATTTCATTTTAAAATTTTTCATTTGTAAATTAAGAATATGTATTTGTATATATTGAAGTATAATAATAAATGAATGAAAAAAAAATCTTATTAAGAGTCATTATTTTTATGTTCCCTGGACCCGAACCCTGGACCCTTTTTTTTGTCGAAGGGTTCATATCCCTGCTTTAAATACTTTCATGACGAAAATTTAAAGTTTATTTTCTTTCATTTTTTTAAACCTTAAACAAAGATGGATATTAAAAAATTTTATTAACCAAAAAAATTCTATTTAATTTATCTCTACTAATAACTATAATTAGGTAAAATTTCTAAAGTGTATGAAATGTTCAGATATCCATATAGACATTATTTGCTGAATAAAATTATTTCTGAGACTTCTTGTGCT